AGGAGGCACGACAAGGAATTATGATGGGCAAGACACCATGAAGCTCTGAATTTGAAGGTTCAGCTCTGGCTACTAGGAACCTTGACGAGGGAAGAAGGTCAGATAAAGTTCCTTGGTGTGATCACTGCAAACACGAATGGCATACACGTGAAACCTGTTGGAAGCTCAAAGGCAAACCTCCGAACTGTAAGAAGAAAGGTGGTCGTGCATTTCAGGCAAGTAATTCTGATCAAGGGCAGCAATCCCCTATAACTCAGCTTTCATTTACTACAGAACAACTAGACAGACTGTACAAACTCCTCGAGTCTCCAACCCCTTCTTGCTATATAGCAACAAAAGGTAATTCTGCACTTCTTAGTATCAGTCCCAGTCATACTCGGATAGTAGATTCAGGTGCCTCTGATCACATGACAGGTGAATCTACTTTGTTATCTTCATATAGTCCATGTGCAGGTAATCAAAAAATAAAAATTGCAAATGGCTCTTTTTCAGCCATTGCAGGTAAATGGTCAGTTGTGTTGTCTCCAATATTAACTATTAAAAATGTCCTTCATGTTCCAAACTTATCGTGTAATTTAATATCCGTCAATAAATTAGCCAAGATATAAATTGTCAAACTAATTTTTTCCGATCTCACTGTGTCTTTCAGGATTTGAACTCGGGGAAGATGATTGGCAGTGCTAAGGAGAGTGGAGGACTCTACTACATTGACATTGGATCTGCATCACAACCAGTTTAACAATAAGTTCCTGCTTTGAGTCTTTTTCTATTTTGAATAATAAAGATGACAACATTATGGTATGACATTTAAGATTAGGTCATTCTAGTTTTCGTTATTTAAAACACTTGTTTCCTAAGTTATTTCACAATAAGAATTTTTTTTCGTTTAAATGTGAAGCATGTGAGTTTGCAAAGCATCATCGTTCCCACTTTTCAATACAGCCTTATAAACCATCAAAACCGTTTTTTATTATTCATAGTGATGTTTGGGGCCCTAACCGTACTAGTACACTCTCTCTCAAAAAATGGTTTATCACATTTATAGATGACCATACAAGAGTATGTTGGGTGTATTTGTTAAAGGGGAAATCAGATGTTTGCCAGACTGTAAAGAATTTTTTTTCAATGGTGCAGAACTATTTTCAAACAAATATCCAAGTTTTTAGAAGTGATAATGGCAAAGAATATTTTAACACTATCCTGGATGATTTTTTCCTAAAAAATGGGACTGTACATCAAAGTTCATGTCCTAATACTCCTCAACAAAATGAAGTGGCCGAAAGGAAAAATAGACATTTATTGGAGGTTGCTAGAGCTCTACTTTTTTCGAATAAAGTACCAAATTATTTGTGGGGCGAAGCTATTTTAACAGCTGCGTATTTAATTAATAGAATGCCCTCTAAAATTCTCAATTTTCAAACTCCAATTAATGTCTTCAAAGAATGTTTTCCTAGTACTCGTATTTTAACTGATTTAACTTTAAAAAAATTTTATTGCACAGCTTTTGTTCATGAACATAAAAATGTTGAAAAACTTGAGTCACGTGCTATAAAATGTGTCTTTGTTGGATACTCTTCAACCCAAAAAGGATATAAATGTTTTGATCCAAAAAACAAGAAAATGTTTGTCACTATGGATGTTACATTTTTTTAAAATAAACCTTTCTTTGATGACACTCATCTTCAAGGGAGGAGATAAAGGAAGACTCGTTTCAAATTGAGGACATGAGTTTTTTGAAAAATTTTATCTTTGCCTGTACCACAAAATTCTGAGACTTCTACATCTGCACCAACAGAAAATGACCATGATTCTGCATCTGATCCTACTCTTGTTATGAGGAAGGAGCCTTGTGAATCCGAGCCTACATTTTCTCTTGTAGAAAACAATGAGAATCCTGAAAACGGTGATAATGATGATCTAATTGAAATGCCACAAAATAATGACACTTCAAGAAAACAGATTCGAATTAGGAAACAGGAATTGGAAAGGGAAGGTTTTATGAAAAAGCACCATAAACAAAGGGACGAGTCCACATCTCAACACTGCCAGGAATCTGAACTGGGGAATGATCAACCTCCTAACAAAAGGAAAGGTAAGTCTATCTCTGTTTCTGAGAGTCGTATTTTGTATCCTGATATAGATGATCTTGTTGCCATTAGAAACCTGTCAAATCTTGCACTAAACACCCCATGTTCAATTTTATTTCATATTCGAATTTGTCTTCAGTTATATCTGCCTTCACCTCAAAATTGTCTAGTGTAGAAATTCCAAATAGCGTACAGGTTGCTCTAGAAATTCCAAAGTAGAGGGAAACTCCAAAGTAGAGGGAAACTGTACTTGAGGAGATGAAAGCTCTTGAAAAGAACAAAACTTGGAGTGTTACGTTACTACCAGATGGCAAGAAGACAGTTGGATGCAAATGGGTGTTTACTGTGAAGTATAATTCAGATGAGTCAATTGAAAGGTACAAGGCTCGCTTGGTGGCTAAAGACTTCACTCAGACTTATGGTATAAACTACTCAGAGACATTTGCTCCTGTTGCAAATTGAACACTATAAGAATTCTTTTATCTCTTGCTGCTAACCTGGATTGGCCCCTACATCAGTTAGATGTTAAGAATGTCTTTCTTAATGGTGATCTAGAAGAAGTATATATAGACATTCCTCCTGATTTTGAAAACAAAGTTGGATCAAATGTATTCAAACTAAAAAAGTCTTTGTATGAATTAAAGCATTCTCCCTAGCTTGGTTTGAAAAATTCACTCAGTCCATGAAGAATCAAGGGTACATTCAAGGACAGACTGACCACACCTTGTTCACAAAATTCTCCAACGATGGAAAAGTTGTTGTTCTGATTATTTATGTTGATGATATTGTCCTTACTGGAGACGATCTAGTGGAAATGGCAAGGGTAAAAGAGAAATTGGCAGCAGACTTTGAAATCAAGGACTTGGGATTCATGAGATGTTTTCTAGGCATGGAGGTTGCTCGGTCAAAGAATGGTATTGTGGTTTCACAGCAAAAATACATTCTAGACTTATTGAAAGAAACAGGAATGAGTGGATGTCGTCCTGCAGACAAGGTAGTCAAGCACGGGATCTTAAGTAGGATCGGACGACCTACAAAAGATCGTAAAACTAGGATCTAGCACGACACTTAAGATCTTAGCAAAGGGTAAAATGGTAATTTCACATGGACAAAAACATGAAAAATTATAATAAATGAACAAAATAACCTATAAATCACAACACTCAACCAATTTAATTAATAGGAAAAGAATGGTAGTAGGAAGGTGGACACAGAGGGAGAAGAATGAAGATGATGAGGGAGAAGAATGGTTATGATGATGGTGGAAAGTTGCAGAGAGAAGAATCGTTAAAGGAGAAGGAATAGTATCGAGTAAGGAGTAAAGATGCAGCCGTTTTGTCTTTTGGTGTTTTAGGGTTAGGTCTGAGAACTTAATTAAAAAACTGGGATCACTTAAAAAAAACGACCTGGTAAAAAAGCCCAACAAAACAGGCCCAGGCGCCCAGCACTATATTTTTTACGATCTTACTATGGAAAACTCGATCTTGACCACAAAGATACACAAAAAAGTTTTTTTCAAGATCGTAGCACTAAAAGGTAAATTTGGCACGTAAGATCTTACGATCTTACGATCCAGCACTCGATCTTGACTACCTTGCCTGCAGATACCCTTATGGATCCTAATGCTAAACTTTGAAGAGAAGGTAATGTTCTTGTTGATACTGGAAGATATCAGAGGTTGGTTGGGAAATTGATTTATTTGTCACACACCGACCTGATATTGCTTTCTAAGTCAGTGTAGTGAGTCGGTTTATGCATTCTCCTTTCGAAGAACATCTTCAGGCAGTCTATAGGATACTGAGATATCTGAAGGGAAATCCTGGAAAAGGATTATTTTTTAAGAAGACTAGTGAAAGGAATTTGTCTATCTTCACCGATGCTGATTGGGCAGGTTCAGTCACCAATAGAAGATCAACCTATGTTTAGAGTAATTTTGTGACATGGAGGAGCAAGAAACAAGGCGTTGTAGCAAGGAGTAGTGCAGAAGCCGAGTTTAGAGCTATGTCTCAAGGTATTTGTGAAGGATTATGGATCCTTATAGTCTTAAAAGAACTTAAGATGAAAGTTGAGCTTCTCTTGAAATTGTACTCTGACAGTAAAGCTGCTATTAGCATAGCTCATAATCCAGTTCAACATGACAGAACCAAGCATATTGAGATTGATCGACACTTCATAAAGGAGAAGTTAGATGCTGAAATCACATGTCTACCTTTCGTGACTTCAAGTTAGCAAACTGCGGATATCTTGACCAAAAGTTTGGCAAAACCTACCTTTGAGCATTTGATAGACAAGTTGGGCATGATAGATATCTATGCACCAACTTGAGGGGAGTGTTGGAAAATATTTTATTTCCATATTTAATTGCTTACATTTATTGTCACTTATTTTCTTTTATTCTCTATTAAGGAGAGAATTAAATATTTTTATTGTATTTTCATTGTATAAATCAACCTTAGGCTGAGAAATAACATTACAACAGTTTTCATCTATTTCTTCCAATAAAATTCATTTATAATCATGCATTGTGATTATATGATGTCACAGAAGAAGAAAAGATATTCCTTTTCCTTTCCCTAAACAAAAATACATTATGAGTCTTTCCATCCACCACTGAGGATTTCATCACAACCTATTTCATTAAAAATATCGTCATCAGAGAAATGCCAGTAGCTTTTTTATTCTGATTCTCCCTTAACTTACCATCTAGTTCATCAAATTATCAAAATAACTCATTTTTAGAGGACGAGATTTCTTCTTCTGTTGAGAGTAACCTTCCTCTTTTGGAAAACTACTTTTCAACCCACAGAATAAAACAAATAGAAATCAACATTTTCTATTACCAACATTAAAGGCATCGGTAGAAATGTCACAAGGATCTATCAAAGTCATTCAGAAAATGATCAGAAACTTCACCTTTAAGTGATCAAGCTTCTCCACTACACCAATATAAGTACCGGGAAACTCAGTCTTGCTTGACTCATGCTTCGTAAACCCTCGCACATGCATTTCATATATAATAAGATCCTTTTGTGGATATTTCAGAGGCAAGTCTCCTTCCCAGTCAAACTAAACACATTGCATGACAAAGAAAAAGTCAATTAAACACTATACAGTCTCAAATTATGAATTTAAGCAACAAAACAGCTATAAAAAAAGTACCTCCTCAGGATCAAAAGGTACCATGCCAGCCATTTGGGGCCAGCAGTTTCCATCAAGTCCAACAGCCCCATATTCTCCTCTGCTTATAACAGCCTAAACATATCAGTAGTATATCATAATCACAAGAGGCTCTACACAGCACAAACCATGCATGCAATACAATATTTCAAAGAAAAACAAACTAATTATCCATGAGGTTTTCTTGTAAGACTAACTTTTGCATAAGGATCAAGTAAAACACGAGAAGAATCATAGTAATGTCCTTGTTGAGGAGAAAATTTGCCATCAAATTTATATCCATAGAGCATATCTTTAAAATCTCCTTTTAGAAACACATGCCAAACACATCCCGTTTTATTCACCAATGGATCAAGTGTAATGTACTCCGTCACCTTATTCTGCAACAAAAATCAAATCAAAAATCAAAACCCTAAAAATCGGAGAAGTTTTGAAAATGTTGAAATTGAATTGAATTTTGACAGACGTTTTTGAAATCAGAAAGAGTGAACAAACAGAGAGTAGCTGAGTGTGCATTGAGAGAATAAATGGCGAAATTGACTCCGTCTTCTTGAGCAGTAGCACCGAAAGGAGAGGGGAAGCCTCTGGAGACTTCGAATTGAGGCTTGTGAATTTCAACAACCGCGGTTTCGGTTTCAACACCGACGCGATTTCCTATAGCGAAGGTCTTGTTTGAATTTGACTTGGAGGAAATGATGATGGAGATTCTAGTGTGATTGTGATTGTGAAGTTCGAGCGATTTGGTTTTGTTGATGAGAGAAAGTGTTGTAGAGTGAGAAATGGAGGTGGTGGTGGTGGTGTGTGGAGGAGAGAGAGTGTGAGAGAGAGAGTGCATTGCGATTTTTGATCAGAAATGAAAGTGAGAATGGAAAATTGGGAATGAATGCAATGCAGGGCTTTGGAAGGGGTGTGAGTGTGTGTGGACTCTAGTCGTTGAGTCTCTTGAAGAAGCATATGTGAGCAGCTTTGTGAATGGAGACTTGACAGAGACAAAAACGGTGCTTGTTGTTCGTTCGCGCTCTCTCTTGGCCCACTCTCACTTTGTTTTCAACCGTTAATTTCTTGTATATTATTATTATTATTTGTAAATCATCTTAAACTTTTTTAAATTAAAAAAGAAATTGCTAAAAATTATCAGTTGGTTGGGTGATATGTTCATCCGCAAATAAACTATGATATGATGAGACGATTAATATTTCATTGATCTTTTTGGATTCTTTTTTGTTTTGTGTATTATCGTGTTAACCATTGTCAAACACTTGATCGGATTTACTTATATCTATTTCTTTTTTAGATAATTCGCTAAAAACTTCTCGAACCTTACTTGTATTTCTCGAGGTTCAGCAACATCCTATATTTTATCACTTTCTCGAATATAAATTCTAGGTGAGTCGTGTCTTCTTGTTTTTTAGATTTGAAATCATGTCATCCATGTAAATCTCTAACACTTCCCTTATTTTGTTTTTGAAGACTTTGTTCATTATTCGATGGTATGTTGCTACAACATTCTTGAAGCCAAAGAGCATGCATGACCTTGTAACAAAAGTTTCATTTGTTCGTCATGAAAGTTGTCTTAATGTTATCAAGATTATCCAATGGTATCTAATAGTTTCTTGAGTAAGCGTCCATAAAGGATAAGAGCTTGAATCCATATGAGATTTCGATGAGTTTATCGATGTTAGGAAGTGGATAATAATAGTCTTTCGAACATGTCCTTTAGATCAAAATAATCGACGCATATGGACCACTTCTTGTTAGTTTTCCTTACCACTAATATGTTGGAAAGCCAGGTTGTGTACCTTGCCTCAGTTATGAATCTGGCCTTGAGGATCTCATCTACGACCTTCTTTGTGGCTTCGGCCTTTTCGGTGAATGTTTTTGCATATGTTGTACCACATAAGGGATGTCATTTTCGAGGTCCAAGGTATGGTATGATATCTCTGGACTAAGACCTGGCATTTCCCTTGCTTATCATGCAAACATTTATTCAATGCCTTGTGCACGGGTTTAGGTTGATTGGCCCTTACCTCGATGGCTTTTGATGGATCTCCTCTTACACAAATGGTGGTGAAGTCTCTGATTGGTTCGAGTATATTAACCTTCTTTCAATATTTTGGCAGGGTAACCTTATCATTTTCTTGGGCTTCCTCTAGAAACAATTCTTTTAGACGATAGCCTAGTTCTAGTGCTTCTTTGGCATTTTCTCTTGGGTCATGAGACTCATAAATGTTTTGTTGCTTGTGAGGAGAACTAGAAAGCAAGGTTGAGATGACACCAAGTCGGCTTCTAACACCATAATTTGGTCTTCTGGAGTGTGGAATTTGATTTTTAGGTGAACAATTGAAGAAACCGCCCCTAAGGTCATTAATGAATGGAATTTCAGGATAAAGTTATAAATGGAGTCACACGCTATAATTAATATTTTTACCCTAATTTTTCTCATCTTGCGACCGGTTCCAAATGTCATTGGAAGTTTTACGTGTTTGGGGGCCTTGTGGTCGTCATGTCAAAGCCCTGTAGATTTCCTCTATAGTATGGTTGTAGGATGGGATGTAAACTCAGTTTCCTGTATGCCTCAGTGTAAATAATATTGCACGAACTTCTTGATCCACCAATATGCATCGAACATCATAACCAGATGAAATTACATTATAATCGGTATCATTGATTTTGATGTCTTGTCTATTTTTTATTTGTTTGTGTGTGTGTAATTCGATTTATCGCATATGTATAATTCGTTTCTAATTTGATTGTAATTTGATCACTTCATTCGTTAGACATGTACCTTGAGACACCTCTACATTTAATTTATTAGAATTGGACCAATAAGAATGTGTTTTTTTAGCCTTTGTAATATGATATAAGTCAAAATACTGGGTGTAGCTTGAATCACAAGTTAGAAGTTTTAAATCAATGTTTTGTAAGGCTTGGTTCGAGACAAATAAGTTATAATTTGAATTAAACACTTGCTTGGAAGTTACAAATTTGCTTTTGCCATCCTGATTCGAATCTAAAAGGTATGTGATTTGAATCACAATACTTCTTGATTTGAATCACAAGCAAGTTGATTGGAATCATGGAAATTAAACTTTTATTAAAATCTATTGTGATTCAAATCATACTTTATTTGACTTGAATCACATACTCATACATGATTCATATCATAAAATAACAAACTCTTCACTTTACTATCTTTGATTCAAATTATTCTTTCTTTGATTCAAGTCACAAACTTATGATTTGACACAAATCACATTGTATTTTTCCTAACTATTTTTGTGTCTTATCTCTATCACCTATTTAAACCATTTTTATTTGTCTCTTAAAACTGATGAAATGTCAAGTGATAAAATTTTAATGAACACAAGTGATATCATGTGTTATCATCAAACATCAAGTGATGTCAAAAAAAGAGAAATTATTTTGATAAGTCGTTGAATCTTTTTGATTAAAAACCCATAATATTCATCAAGAACCCAATCTTTCTTTGTCAATAACATTGAGAGAAATCATGAAAGTTTTCTTCATTCTCAAACACATTATTTCTTTGATTCAGCCTTGTGAAAAACTTCCTAGAATGTTGAGATTTTGAAAATTTTGTAGTTGTATTGTGTGATATCCTTTAGATATTATTCATCATCTTTAACCTTATACCAAGAACCCATTGTTGTGGTGCTAAACTCTAAATATTGAGTGTGAGATGTAGTTTAAGGTACGTAAGGGAATCTAATATTTTTGTGTGACGCTTTGATGTTTGTATCATGAAAAAGGATAGTTTCTTGTTCACATTATTGGTTGGTTCTTATCAAGCAGGAGAAGAGTTTTTTCCATACTCTAAGGAAGATTTTGGTGGATTGATAACTCACTATGTGTGAGTTAATCTAGATCTTAACACTTGATTTTATTTTACTTAAGTAAGTTTGTTAGATTAATTTAAGTTCATTTTGTTGTTTTAAATAATTTTAAGAAGAGCAAAGTAGGTGCTCTCATGTGTGAGTTTTTATGTGTTTGTCACATGTGTATGACTAATTTCTAATAACTTCTGGCATGATAGAATAAGAGCATCACCTTAACCTCAACTATCATCTAAGTGTAAACTGCAAAAGAGGTTACAATGAGTAAATGCTCGTGGAATTACAACACATGTGGTAACAACCAAAAGATTGGAGTGCAATTGAGCTGACAATAATAATGAACAAGTTCAAGCACTATAAAACAAAGTATGCAAAAGTTGTACCATGCAGAGTGGCGCACGCAGCCCTGCCATAGGACGTGTTGTCCCTTGCAGGCTGGAAAAATGTACTACTTAGAGCTAATTCTAGAATTTTGGTAATCAGACATCAGATGTCGAGTAAGATATCACAACACTAGGATCAAGACAATATGACAACACAAACAATTATGCAGTTATAGTAAATGACTAAATGTAAATTACAGTCAATTATTAACCTAGTTCGGTACAACATCACCTACATCTGGGGGCATCCAAACCAGGAAGGAAATCCACTATAATAGTATTAGTTTGAAGCCTAAGTAAACAACCTCCGATTTACAATCTTCTCACCTAATCATTACCCATGCTATTTCTATCTAAGACACTCCTAGATATGAGACCCCTTTCACTTCCCTTAAATAACACAACAGTGACAAAACTAAGAACAAAGAACAATAGAAGGCACACTTCCAAAGACGCAAAAATCCACTATTACTTAAAAGCCTATGAGTGATTACAACTCAAACACAGTCCAATTCAAGCACCTAAGAGGTACACGAATGACTCACAGATAAACAATGAACACAGTTCAACTCAAATATCAAGGTGATATTATAGTGGATCACAAATAACAAATGACACACTAAACCCTAAAAATCTCTTCTTTCAATACACAACTTCAATGATTCATTAGGTTTAGAACAACTCTTTATATATCTTGATATCAACATGGACTTGGGCTCTTCGTCTAAATAAAACACATATCCCAAAACGGCAGTTGCAAATCTTCTGCATGAAAATAGGAACAAAATAGAAAGTTTCCTAAAAAGTCTCCAAGATCCTTTTTATGAAACAAATGTGCTTATGGGACAGAACTGATGTTCCTAAAATAACCCTCATTGGAATGCGACAGAGTGTGAGCTAAAACCAAATAAAATTCCACACTTTAAAAACAAATCTTCTAAATAAGTAAAACCCTAGCACCTGGTATAACATGTCATGACATTGTGCATGACGTCACTACAAGTAATATTTTACCAACATGTCAAGACATCTTGCTCAACATCTTGCTTTGATACTTATTTTAACAACATTGCTGCCAATCCAAAAATCATAGAACTTACAATCTCCCCCTTTGGTAAATTTTGGATAAAACTACCTTTGCATCAAGAACTAGAGAGAAAAAACAGCAACAACAATCACAAGATAAAACCACATACAGACTTGGTAGAACACATCAGAGGCATACACAGCAGAAATGATGTAGAAACCCAGCCTCACAGAGAAATAACAAAGACACAGAGAGAAATAACCTCTCACACACCAAAATCCTTCAAACAACTGAAATACAATGTCAGGACATCCTGTCTGACATTACATAGAAATCACAACAAACATACTTAGGAAGCCTAAGCACCATACTACCAAACTTTCCCTAAATGACATGATCAACAATTTAGGTCTTTACTCCCATTGTCACCTAGAAACATATACTCTCCCTCAAGGAGCAACCAGAATACTTACCATACATAATAGGACAAACACAAGCTCATAGTAAAAAAATAAATTCTCCTAGACAAGAAATTATGTCAGGACATATAGAATGACATCTAAGTACCACC